TTATAACTCTGAGTTGTAGAGTTTGTTGCCGTGCATCAGGTTACCCTCAGGTCTGTCCCAGGAGTATGACAGCGGGGCCATGAAAGGAGCCATCTCTGCACACTGTTCAGACCAAGGAAGACCCAAGAGCTGATTGAGGCCAGAACAGTGGTGACCCAGTAATTTGGTCAGTAGAGGACATGCAGCTGATATCACTGGGTGCACTATGTGAAAGGAAATGTTACAGATTCTCTTTTTGGAGTTTTGTGTGTTTTTTGAGCAAACCAGAAGCTTTCCCATTCATATGGGAATAACATTTATGAATGTTATTTTTTTCTTAAAATAACATACAAAATACATAGGGTGTTTCACACAAACATTTATAATGGATACACTAATGCTGCCTGAACTGTAACAAGGGATAGCTGTATAGAAGAAAAAAACCCAACTCACTGAGGAAAAAAGTCCTTCTCCTTTGCCTTATTTTGAAAGGCAGCAAGATAAACTCCTTTCCCCCTTTTCATAAGCAGCCTCGCCTGAGGCCATTCTTCTAGTTACACGGCAGGGAAAGGGCCTGGAGGAGCCATCACATGTCACAGCCTGCCCTTTCTAATATGTGGGGTTTTTTTTTTGTTAAGGAGGCAGCTTTAATTGAAATTATGTCTGCTTGAGAAAGAACAAGGGTCATGAACTTGCCCTACTATGGGACCCTGCAGGAAAGAAATGGCCTAGTTTTGTTAAAATGTCCTTCTCCACAAGCTGGATACCTTCTCTGCAGAATTCGTCCTATTCATATGCACAACACCCCTCCGTCTCCTGCTCCCAGCAGCAAAATTGTTTTGTGACTGGTCCCGCAGAAAGAAGTCTAAACAAGGTATCTCTTAAAGACAGCTTTCTCAATGTGAGACAAGGCATGAGGCAGGGCACAGACCCTGCACACGGGGATGCCCATCATCCTTGATACAAACCAGATCAGTTCACCCTGGCCACTCTGAACAGCAAGGGATCTTGCAGATGCCCATGATACAATTACTATTTGTAAAACTGTCCTAGCTTATGCTGTGCTACTAATTTTCAGTTGCATTTTGACCAAAACCAACAAAAACTAATCCAACACACAAGGCTGCAAATCGTAAGGTAAAGATTATATCTTCCTTAGACTTAAATTTACAAAAGCAGTGGAAGAAAAGAGCAATAAAATTCATGTTCCCATTACGAAATCTAGTGCTAATTGTACTGGTTACAGCAAAGCTGAAACTTGAAGCAAATAGACTCTCAGAAAAAGCATTTAGTACTCCAATGGATTGATCTCCATGTTTTTATTGCTTAAGTAATCTGACCTGTCCCATTTAAAATAATTTAAGCCCTAACCCTATTAAACAAGGCATTTAGAGACTTTTATCCTGAAACTGAAAAGATGCTTTCTTTCCAAAATGTAACTTTTTCCAGACCCTGAAGTGGACAACTCTGCCTCATTATGTAGGTACCATTGCAAAGTCCCACCATCACTGCAGACAGACTCACCTGCAACAGACCTGTCCACAGGAGGCCTTTAAAAAGAGATCTATGCTCCTCAAATGGCCAGCAAAAGCAGCAAGAGGATTAGTGACACCTCATTTCTCCTGTCTGCTACAATCAGCTAGGGACTTGGAAAAGACGGCTTTATTCTTTTGAAGGCTAAGTTGTGTGGGATAAATTGATTCTTTTACCCTAAATCTTTCTCCAGTGGTAAGAGCTGAACTGATTACCTCCAGGTCCCTGGGAGTGTCATAACAGGTTGTCCGTCGTTCCATTATGCTGCTCCTGAAACTTCTCACTGACGGCAGAGGCAGGCCCATTTACTTGTTTTTTTTGCTGACAGAGAAACCACAACACATATAAGTAAATCACTCTCCTTTGGAGGGTAGAAGCAGGAAGATAGGAACATTGTTGCTGAATTACAGATATTCTAAAGAGAATTTTCATCCCCATGGGCTAATACTGGAAGTCCAGCTTGTTAAATGGTGTAAATCAGTACAGTCACAATTTCACCTAAGCTTACTAAAGAAAAAGGGTTTCACTGCCACTCTGAAGAGACGCTTGACCTCTATCATGTGAGTATTTCCACGTGTCACTGTTGTAAACCGTTGCCAATTGAGAGCACAGTAAATTTTGATCTTTGTGTAAACAAAATGACTGGCAACATGGCATCCATTTTGCTCAATCAAAAGTGAACGTGATGTATCCAGCATAACCCAAAGTTACTGTGAAAAGCAAACACATTTATAATTCATTTGTTAGAACAGCAACAGAAGCAAATTAACTGACTGCTACAAATAGGATTTCTCATTCTCAATAAGGAGCAAAGTTCATAAGAGATTCACCTCATATTCTGCTTATTCAGTTTTATTGTCTGAATCTCAGAGGTTGTGGGTCAACAATTAATTCAAGTGCATTTTTAGACTTTGCTAAAGCAAACAGAACTCTTTAAAGCCTTTGGGCTGCCGATCCATAACCCAGTAAGGCAGCCTTTCCACTAAAATTCAGTGGTTACATCTACCCTTGCCTTTGAGGGCCCCCTCCTCTTGCCTCTCAAGATGAAGTATAGTCTGTCTTGACTGAATTTGCCCCCTTTGAAGCATCTGATACCCCAGGTGCCTAAGAGTATCTTGGGCTTAGGTGGCTTAGGATTCCATGAGCTGACTCCTGATGTTGCTAGAGACTCCCAGAGAGCCTGTGCAGAGAAACTGTGCTCACTGAGAGCTGGGTGAGCAGAGAGGGTAGGCAAAGCTGCCCTTAGTGGTACCTGTGGAATGCTATGCAGGCAAAAACAGCCTCAGAACAGGCCCCCCTTGAAAAGGGTTGGACTGTAATAATTTAAGACTAAATTAGGAAAGTAGCTATCAAATTAAATAAAGACATGATTCTAGTTAACCAGATCTGTGGTTTGTTAAAAATTCAAGGCAGCATTTCCCCCTGTAGTTTCGCAATCTAATTTGAAATACATTTATTCCCTGCCTGCTCCACTTCACCCAACCGTGACGATCATCAAACAGAAGTTGTTCAGCCTCATTGCATGAGATGAGCTGTCTGGCTCCCAAACAGGCAAACCCTTTCCTCCCAGCCAAACACTTTTGTAACTCAGGTATTGATCACTCTTTTTATTGCAATAGTTTAAAGGTGTAGAACGCTAAAATGTAAAACATCGGCATGGAGCTATAGCAACCTCCTGGTGACTTTGTCATAGGGTAGAGAAATGACAGGGGGATGGGGTGACACAAATTTTGAAATGTGGATTATTCACAATTGTTATTCTAACAGAAAATTTCAATCTGTGCTTGTACTTGGTTCTCATTTTATGTCACTGTTTTTATCAGACACTTCAGCTAGGAAAGGAGGAGTCCTGGGTTTTGATTCAGGCTTCTAATGAGAGAAGAATGGAAACCTGCTGAAAAGAGCAGAAGGTACCCATATGGGTGAGAGCAGTAGCCAGATAGACAGTAGTGTAAATTAAACTGCTACATCTAATCCTTAAAGAAAACTGGGTCTGGGAGGACTCCTAGGACACTATTGTAAGGAGCAACTCTAACCACTGATTTAGAATATAAAAATTGATGTTGCACAGATAAATAAAAACTGGTGGAAGAGAAAAAGGTGTGCCAAAGGTGACACTTGCTTTAAGAAATAAAGAAATTGAGGTGAAGGTGTTCATATAATGTGCATTAATGATTTAATGAGACATGAAGTAAAAGAAAGATTAACACAGATGAAGGAGATTTTTGTCTGAGTCACCACCAGTAAGAAACTTCTTTTGATGAAGGCTTTTTTTTTTTTTTCCTAGAAGAAACTATTATAGACACCTAGGGGGAGATCTGGAGGGCATGGAAGTGAAAACATCAAATCTGAGGTAGAAGGAAGGTATTTGAATTAATCGTTTTGTGATGATGAGTTGCAAACAAGGCAAAAAAAAGACAAGCATGACACAAGATCACACATCAGCAAGATGGTGTGCTGATCCTCAGGGCGTGCTCTAGTGTCTCTAGAACTAAGGAGATGTAAGAAAAATGATGTAAGAAAATTAAAATCTATAATTTACACAGACAAGACCTAAGAATATATCTGGGTAAAAACCAGCAGGACAGATATATGTTATACATTTTAATTTTTCTGTATGCTTCACATACATTTTCTTACCAGGACCTCATCTGCAAGACAGACGTTTTTATTTCCATATGTTCAAGATACCTGACTCACAATGGAAATGCTGCAGATTGAGCAGATGCAGCATACTTTTCCTAGACTGTCAGAGGCAATGAAAACTTGAGCTATTGGAAGAGACTAGTAGAACTTGACTTGTTAAGCTAAACTGTATGAAGGATGAGGGTGGATAAGACTCCTATCTATTAATACATAGGGTGGGGGAAGAAAGGATAAATGCAGAGACACAGGAACTTTTTAAACTCAAAGGCAGTACTGGCACAAGAATAAGTGAGTATAAAGCAGGCATGAATATATTTAGGCTGGAAATGAGAAAAGATTTCGAAGCATCACAGGAGTGAATCAGCTTTATAATAAAAAAAAAAAGACATCAGAAATTTAACTGTTTAAGGCAGAGTTTAGGAGCTATTTAATGAACAGGATTGAACATGGCAGTGATGAGAGGAGAATAAGCTCAATATGAAAGATTCCTTCTAATTCACTTTTGCTGTAAAAATCTCTTTGATTTTTTCTAGAGTCCTAGATAAAAATTTAATAAACACATTTTCTTTAATTATCACCTGCAAGTTATTTTCTAAATTACAATAATAGGAACACTAAAGGATACTAATTAAAATGCAAATGTCATGCTAATAGTCACCTTTCTCTCTTATCTTTTAATTTGCCATAGCTCACAATTGGTATACATGACACTAAAGACAGAGATCAAATGAGAATCTATGAAAGATCCAACAGTTTCATTTGCTTAGTATTTGCTGGATAGTAACACAGTGTTCCAGGGGGAGATAATTTACATCCTTTGATGAAGAAGGGATAGAACTTACTTTCAAGATGTGTGGGATCTTTGTCTTGTTGTAGGGATCAGTGTCCCTGAATAAGTGATAAATAAGAATAAAAGTGCTCTTTTCTTATTTCTTCTTCCCCACCTTTTCCCTTTATGAATCACAGCATGGGATACCACAGGGAACCTTATGGTAACAGCAAAAAATATCTTACTTGTTCTTACTGCTCCAATGGACTGATGTTCCATATTGCTAGGATAAAACCAGGCAGGGGTTTGACAAGTACTTTATACTTAACTCTACTGACACAGCTATCTATTAGCTTATGCATGCGTGCACGCGCGCGCGCACACACACACACACACACACTAACCCATTTCTAGGTGTCATTCCTCATTCCTTGCCCCATCACTGGATTTCAAGTATGAAACATCTGTTGTAGAAAAGCACTTGTAGTAAGAATCTCCTCGTAATATGTCCAGGCTGTTTCATGCAACCTTCTCTTCAACTAACAGAGGTCCTAGGGCAATACAGACACTTTCCTTAGAGAGTCAGGTTAGACACTTGTGCATAACATGCAAACCTCTAAGAACCACTGCATATTGATACATCCTCTGTCCTCTAAAATAAATGTGTTTTTTAGCTCTTCTATAAGTGTAGAGTCCACTAAGAGCTAATAGAGAATTGTTGATTTCAAACAGAAATTATATGCTTAAGTATGACTGAAATAGAGTCAATGACTCTAATTGTCTTTAGAAAGCCAATTGTTTCATCTTGTTCTGCACATTCAAGTAATTGTGTTATATAGCACATTACACAATTATATGGGTATAACTGCAATGCTCTCTTAAACTGTTTTAAACTATATTGAGAATCCATTTATGCTGCTTGATGCAAAAAGCTAGTAACTATGTAAGATGAGGTTTTGAACAATCTCCATCAAATCCCATGAGGCATATTAGAGCCTAACAAAATATCATAACAAGAAAAACAATCACTTTATCCATAATGTCTATATTACTTTCATAGTGCTTAGTTTAAGTGCTTCAACAACTTTTGTTATTACCTTCTCAATGTATTGTAATCTCAATGTTCACCAGACCATTTTTGCCAATATATGGGTGGAACCACTGATGCAACATTCGTGTCTCTAGAACCACTGATGCAACATTTGTATCTATTGTTAATACATAAAAACCTGCGTTTAAAGTAAATGGAAAATCCTGGAATTAAGAAAATCCGGAAACATTAATGGAAACTTCCACCCTCTCTTGAAAGAAGCATGACAGAGTCGTCAGGATCTTCAGGGAACTAAAGGACTCCTACACAACACAGTATTTAAGAACAGGGAAATTCAAACTCCTGTGTTACTTACCAAGTGTGAAAGGTATGCAGAAAAGAGAAAGCGTTTAAAAGAGAAGCGTTGTAAGACCCAGAGCAGAATGCCAAATGAGATGGCTAGGTTTTAAACAAAACACTGGCTAACTTTCTCTTCTCAGCTCTTCCTTTATGTCACAGAAAGTGGCTGGAAGAAAGCCTGAAATCTAGGAAAGAATTCCTGAAATACTAACACGCAACCATAGAGGAAAATGTCGGTGGATCTTGTGTAGTAAACAGTATTGCATATTCATTGAATGAAGAAGGGATTTAAGAACCTCTTGACTCCAGTGGGAGCTGGAGGAGTCCCCCAGCCTCCAAGTCACTGGTAAATTTGCCCTTGAGGCTAGTGGTGGGGAGGGAAGTGAGGGAACCACTTCAAGGGAATTGTTAGAACAGAGTGGGCACAGCAGCCACCCTGAGCAGTGATTTGGGCCATAGGTACTGTGAAGATGATCGCTGTAGCTGAGACAAAGGCCTAGAATAAGTTATACTGGGGCTCAGATGTTAGCAAGATTGCATCGGGACATGTTATACCCCCTCTTCTGGGGAAGAGGGAGTTTAGTGTTGTACCTTTATGGAAATGTTAACCTTTATTCTCATTGCCAGAGCCTTCACTACTACTACTACTACTACTACTACTACTACATAAAAATAGGGCTAATGGGATAAACTTGGCTTATCTGATCTGTGGGAAGCACTTAATTGATTTTGTCTGTATGTTAAAGCTTTGCAGCCTGTTTCCTTCTTTGGTTAATGGCTTCTCAAATACTACCATTGACTGCCTCTCACAGGACAGTGCTGAAGTGCTCATACCTCTTCACTCAAGATTGGTTGGGTTTTACCTTCCTGTGCTGCCCTAAATTCTTGAAAATTGAGCCAATGTTTTTAGCTTAATTTTAAATTTGTCTCTGGCACACACTCCGCAAGAGAAGTGTTTTGAATAAACTGCTGATTCCCTTACCATAGGGCCATGCACTCCTCCCCTTTAATTTGCATACAACAGATTTGCAGATTTAGTGACATATTTCTCTGCTAGAGTGGACAAAAATCAAGCAGCTGCTTTGAAGTAGATGCTACTGTGAATGGTACAGTTTATTGGAGTACAGAAGTCAGAATAGTTGTTCAGATGACTAATGATTTGGTATACAGCCAAAACAGTTTTCCAGGACATCCACGTCAGCACTTTTGTATGATGATCATAGAAATTGCTTTCTTTCTCTTGCCAAACTCCTTTTATACTGTTACAAAATCATTCAGAGAGGTCCCTTCAGTACTGAAGAGGCAGCATGATTCAAGTTAAACTTGAACCACAATCATGACAGAAATCTATTGCTATCCTGAAGTAACACTTCCCAGAAATATAACTGAAAACTCCATACTGCGAAGGGATAAAGAAACAAAATTGGATAGCAATTTACTGGTTTTTGCAAAAACATTTTACTGAAGAAAAAAACCCAAAGAATTCACCCAAAAGAAACCTTGGCAGTTCTCCTTCGGCCAATAAATTTCGTGATATAAATTAAGAGATGCATCAGAATTTCCTGAAAGAAATAGACATGATGTTTGTGTTTGGCCTTCCTTCTAAATGAGATCTATTTATAATACTGCACTGATGCTTTAAACATAAACGTTGCCTTGACGAAAGAACCACAACCTACAGATTGCTTCACAACAGTTCAAGCGTTAAAAACACACAGACTTCCTGATGAGAGGCTTCTTGGAACATGAATCCCATCCAACATCCTTTCTGTGCTAACTCCAAAGATTTCTTCTGTCTGCCACAGCATTCTTCTATACAGCATTCCATTTCTGCGCCCGTACTCCAGTTCTCTTAAGTATTGCTCTCTGTCCTGGTTCAGCTTGGATAGGGTTGTTTCCCCAACAGTGGGGAGGGATCTCCAGCCGGGTTATTCAATACCATGCTGACGTCAGGTCCGGGCGCCAAGCGCGGGAAGGGTTTCCTTTGGGCTTTTGTCGCGGAAAGCACACACAGAGGGCTGAATGTGTCAATTGCGGTATTTCTCTGTATATCTTCTGTCTTGTTTACTGTTTATTATTGTTGTTATTGGTATTGTTGTTGTTCAGATAGTTATTTGTTACACCGTTGTATTAAATCTTTCCTTATTTCAACCTCGGGGTTTGTGCTTAACTTCCAACCCTGATCGGTCTGAAGGTGGGGGAGGGACAACAGCAACATGGTCTCTGGTCCCGGCAGGGCTTAAACCCCCACACCCTCAAAGTCCCAGGCCTGGCAATACAGTTGTCATAGTACAAGGAAGGGTACTACTAGCCTGAGAACCAGAAAATGTCTTACAAGGCAAGAACAGTTTCTTAAGATGTAGAACCAGTAGACAATGAATTAAACAAATAATAACACTAATAACTCCAAACCAGACACAAAATAAATAAACCTTCCTGAAAGATGAATACATAGTGTATCACATATATATTATAATAAGACAATGTTTATTTAGATGTCTTTTTGTTTCATCTATGCACTGTTATAGAGGTATTTCTTCTACAATCCCTTCTGGATCTGCAGGAAGGGATCATTTACAATTCCTTCTGCATCTGCAAGGAACATGGACTGTTTTCTTGCTGCATATTTAGAAAATATCCACATTACACATAGGAAAACAAATTTTCAATCTAAATAATAATTCAAATGAACCTGAATAAGAATACAGCTGCATTCGACGCAATGACCCTTTCAGCAAAATATCAGCTTCTTGAAATTCCATCTGTCAGGCTGATGTGTAGCTAACTTTATGTAAAATTATGAGCATATCACTATCAGTCTACCTTGGTTTGTTCAGTTACAGAAAACTCAGACATAAGTGCTACCTCTTCTCAAATGATACAGACTGTTAGCTAGTCAGGGCTTCCGTCTTCTATCTAACAAACATATCCATTTACTATTAAAAAAAGGCCAGAGATGAAGGAGCAGAATCAAAGCATTTTCCCAATATAAATATCCTCATTGTTAAGGTGCAGATTAGACTTGCTTTTAATTACTTGTATCCTGATTCTTAAAATTTCTGAGCTTGGTGGAAGAGTAACACAATCCCAATATGGGTTTCAAAATGGCAGGAAGAGAATTCCTCCACCCCAGTACCCTGCAGCCTCTGTCCATAGAATAATGTACACAACAGTAAGAGAAGATTCCCTATGTCTGTGCTGCTTTTAATTTGGACAAGCAGCTGAGAATGATCAGGATGTGGGCAGGGTACAGGTGTTTCAGATTCATAGGAAAAAGGGATCTCTCCTAGATTCATGCAGTATAATAGTATTTACTAGTTGTGTACCTTCAGCTGTGACCTTTCAGGAATTATTCCAATGTAGCTGACGTATCAACTTAGAAAAAAAAAATCAGGTATTCCTTCTTTATTTGGTGTGGTACCTGAATGTTCCTAGAGAAACAGTGTGGACGCGTGCGCGCGCGCGTGTGTGTGTGTGTGTGTGTGTGTGCGCGTGTGTGTGTAGATCCCATACAGTTCTCTCTCAAAGTCTACACATGATGTGTGAGAGAGAGAGAAATAAGCAAATAGGCAGGGGAGGGAAGAAAGTGGAAAGTGAATAGGCAACAATTAGAAAGGCCATATTGAAGGATATTTTTAAAAGTTCCCTCCCACACAGGGAACAGTGTCATTTTAATCTAGTGGAAACCAGCACAGAGCAAGGAGAATCATCTCTACAGACCGTCTCTGCTCGGATGAGAACATGGATCAGCAGAAAGACTTGTTAATAAAAGCTAGAAGAATGGAACTCTCCAGAAAAATGTTCACCCTCTCCTCCCAGGTCCCAGCACTGCTTACTAATATTTCCAATGCAGAACACTGCTCTCAGACAACAAAATATT